GCCTCAATTACACATGTCTCGGTGCCTGGCTATCTGTGTGGCTTTGCAGGGTCAATGCTGCCCGACAGCCGGCACTGCTCTTCAACTTTAATGCGATTTTAAAGGTCTGAGCAGCGCCAAGAGCTGTCTAGAAACGAGAACCCGACTGCAGATGAGGTCGTGACACGAATGGCATTATGTTTTCTTAATGCCAGCAGCTTTTTATGACAGGATAAGTGATCTAAACGGTGGTGTAGGTAAGAAAATAGTTGTGCACAACTTCAATGAAGGCCTTTAAAGATAGCTGCTTAAATAATTTAGAAATAACATTATATGGATATAAATGTATATAAATGTGTATAAAATTGCAAAAAATAAACAGATTAGGATGACAAAAGAAAATATTCAAATTAAAATGGAATTGCATTAAAACTGAAAGCTGGCAATTTATAGTGAAACAATAATTCAGCAAAATTATAACTCTCTCTAACGCACAAATTTTGGAAATCTTTTATACCATTCTCTACTAAATCAAGCCCCTCTGAAAATGCCCCAAAACAAAAAATACCCCTTTCTTCACCAAGCAAATGCAAATTCGCAGCAATGCACTTTTAGATGCGCTGGCTATTTGTATTGTGTCCTGACTTAATTAACGCTGACTTACTCATGTTGCCAGGACTCGCACAACCCCCTGCTCCCTGCTCCCTGCTCCTTTTAGCCCCCACCCGCACCCCCCGGCAGGACTTCTTCATAAGCCGCTTGCTGGCATTGTTGCTGTCTTTTGTTTGATAATTACTTTTGATAACTTGGCCCTCTCTCACTTAGTGAGTCTGTCTCTCGTTGTCCCCTTTTTCGCTATTTTACTGGGTTTTCCCCCTCTGCATTTTCCCCGTTTTTCAAGCGGTTTTTCGGTTTATTTTATTGTTGTTGCTGGCGGTTTTTTGCTGCCGGTATGGTGCATATGGCGCCATTACAGAGCTTATCATCCAGCTTTCGAATAAGCTTTAGTTTTAGTTTCAGTACCCATCCGAGATGCCCCCACTTCATACGCCCCGTTGGCAGCCGACTGGGCTAAGTGCTCCGTAAGCCTTGAGGTAGGTCAAGTAAAAAAATTTCAACCACGCCCGTAAAGGGCGGCGACAACACCAACTGCCCTGAATAATGCAATTAACATGGCGCAAAGCCGCGTTGCAAGACCATGAAATATTAAGGACCAGATGCACGAAGGCTTAAAGCTGCCACGAGATTCGCCGCCGAGAGTGGCAGATACTTCAGTCTGTTCCAAGGAATAGGTGCCTTGCCTTGTGAGTAATATTCGATCCTCTTGAGACGGCACAATCTAGTCTTATATATAGAGCTTCGGTTCAAAGAAACTCAAAATTTCATAAATCTCTTGTCTTGGAAGTTTTGTTACATTTGATACATAGTATAAATGCAGCTTTGAAAGGGAATATTCGACGAATTCGAAGTTCGGTAAGTAAGCGGATAGAAATTCCTTGTTCATGTTATGCACATCCGTTGGCTTGAGAGGTGTTGTGGCCCCATAATATTTGCCACTCAATTTACATATGGTATGGTACCCAATTGTATACCCTATCCCCAAAATGCCCCCCTTTATCAACTATTTGGCATGCAAATGTGTGTGTCTGTGCATAATGTCCCCGTTGTTGTCGTTGTTTCTGGACGTTTCTGTATCGCACATTCGGTTTTATTGCATTCCTTTTTCGCACGCACGCGGCCTCAAGTCTTCAGTTCGTACTCCTCTTCTAAATGTCAGCTGTCAAATATACACACATACATACATACAGGCCGTATATAGATATATCGGTGCGCGGCTACACTTAAAGAAACACACCACCAATTAGTTCAGTAACTATATTTTTGGCAGCACTCAGTAAGCCATTTTAAGACGTTCTTGTACCAAGGAATTGAACAGGAAAATTATAAGAGAAATTTATGTATGAAAAGCATTTAACTGTATCTTACGACGAAGTGTAAGTAAAGAGTTTAGAAAAAAAAAATAAATCATCCAAAAAAATCATCCTTTTGTAATCATTCATTTATGTATATATCTCTGAAAATATAAATAAATTCAATAACTATAATTAAATACCACTTTAACAATTAAAAACACATTTCTCCAGGTGTACCTCCATATTTCGTATCCATAAGTTGGTAACTTTTGCCACAGTGTCCTTGAGCCGGGTGTGCGTGTGTGTGGGTGTGTCTTGTCTGTTGCCAAGTGTCTGGGTTTCTGTGTTAGTGGACAGCTCTTAAAGTGACAACATCGCGTTGAAAATTTATGCGATTGCTTATAAATCGGATTTATTTAGATATGCAGGCTAGTTATTCATTGATGATACCGGCAAGTTCCAGAAGCGTGTTTAGAGCAATCGCATAATCAGCATTAAGTTTTATAAGCCTGGTTTACTGTCTCCAGCCGCGACAAGTGACCCATAAAAAGTAAATAAATTCCAAAACTCTAAAGCTTTATTTCAAGATTTCTCTTTGCTGAGAAGATTTGAATTGATAAGTGTAGAAGATGAGAGATACTTTTGCCGCAGCAAAACAAAATCATACAATTTGATAAAATACAATACAATATTAATAGATAAAGATACAACGTGATTTATTTTCCGACTAGCAAACTCTAGCCTACATTTGCCTAATGCAAGGAAAATCAACCCACTTAGCGTAATTTCCCACATAAGCCACTTAATCGCAGTATAACAAGTTGATGGATATCAGACCAATTACCCAAATCATTAACATAATTTCGGTTAGTCGTATGAAACCATAGGAGCGCCAAAAAAAAAAAATGCAAATCAAAAGGTCATTGAATCGCCCACGAAAGCGTACAGAAACTGAAATCGCCCCGAAAGACATCATTTGTATGGCCTGACCATAATCCCAAATAAATAATTAACAAATTTTGATTGAAAATGTCAAATTGCCATAGCCCTGAGCTAAATCCGAGACGCTGAAGACCCACAAAGCCGAAAAAAAGCTGGGTATGTATATTATGTGCGTAAATTTGCATAAAAGCGGCGATAAAAGAGAGCGCCAAAACAATTTGTCAATGTAACGCCCAAGAGACTGCCCCGCCCCTTCTCCCTGCTACGGGGCGTTGGGGCTAGAGAGAGAGGTGGGGCGGAGAAAGAGGCACAAGAGGAGGTGGTGATAGCGTGCTAATTGGCAAAGGCACAGTCAAAATATAGCCATAAATATGGCCAAATGTTTGAAGTGGTTTCCTTTCCTTCCGGACCGCCGCACTCACTGTCTCTTTCTGCGGCACCTACACTCCTCTCTTTCCACCGCCCAAATACCCCTCTCTTTCCCACATTGCACATCATTAAGCCGACAATGTGCAATTACACATTTATCGGTAAAGCAACCTGATGACTTGTGGAGCGGTCTCTCACCTTGAGCTTTTCACATTGATTCCAACTGCAGGCCAAAAAACCACTCCGAAAACTCGTCTGCTATCCCGATATCGTTGAATTCAAAATTCGTGCACCAACAATAAAAGTAGTAAAAACAAGACAAAAAAAAAGGTGGTTAACTAAACAGTTATTACATCTGCGATTCATAGAAAGACCAATGGTGAAAGGTGGTTGGGGGAAGGCGAATCGAAAGTGGAACGAACGGAAATATAGCAAATGAAGCATTCGCACCGTGGGCCCCACAAGAAAAACTTTGGACCTGCCCAAATGTGGCTTCAGAACTTGAGGTTTTCTTTTACGTGAGTGAATTCCTAAGAACCCGAGGAATTCACTTTTCTGAATGTCTGCTAGAGAGTATCAGCCCTGATGTGAATGTTTAATGTGCCATCAAATGCATTAAAGAGCGCTTAAATTAATGAGCTGGATAGCTATAAAAACACAATAGTAGATAATTTACTTCTGTGGTTATTTAAAGTTGCCAAGTTCGAAATATATATGACCTAATGAGCGCGGCTTCAATTATAATTAAGGAACTACAAGGCAATGTACGCAAATTTTTCAAATGACAATCAAAAACAATGTCAGTTACCGAGTCTCAGTTTATCGTGGTCAAAACAATGGCTACAATTTAAAAGGAGGAAGCTCAAGAAACGCATACCATAATTACGATGATTAATTCGTAGCTACAAACCAACTGCTTCCCACATTTATTAGTACATTTATTTTTGAAGTTTACACACTTCCACATTTCTCAAGAGCAAAGTTGCCCCATGGACAAGTAGCTCCAACTCATTGTGGCCCAAAAACCAATAAATGGTAATTCAATTAGGCCGTATCTAAATCAGCCACGAAGCTTGCCCAATTTTTCCACTGTAGATACCGAGGTGGGTGAGCCCAAATTGCATTCCAAACCCGAATCCTCCAGCTGTTGTCGAGTGGTTATGGCGCTGCTGATCCAAAACCCGAAAAGGGTTTGGGCACCCAAACAGCAAACACAAAGTAATGCTCCACTTACTTCCTCGAATACACGAACCGAAATGTGCTTTCAATTTGCACAAAACTCCATCACATACATAAATTACATAAGTTGACCATAAAACCTGAAGAAACGGAGCATTTGCAGGAGAAGAAGCCGCAGAATGGGTGAGGTACATAAGTGCACCTTTTTGGAGCAGCTCTTGGAAACTGGTTGGCCAACTGACCTTGAAGCGGCTTGGAGATGGGGCCACTTACGCAATGCAACGTATACTCGTACGTATTCCAGTTCGATCTTCTTCACGATCTACACGAAAGTCAACAAATTGCATCTTCCCCACCGACCAGATTGCAAAATTACATTTGAAGTAGTAGTTTTTTTTGGTTTGGTGTTGATGCTGAGTTTTTCCCCCCCAACAACAACACATGCCAGATCTTTGACTTGTCAAAAATGTAAACACAAACGACTCGTTGGGTTGGGGAAAAAAAACGATAAAAAATAAAAATAAAAGCTGAAAAGATGTATAAAAACCGAAGCGACGTCGCTGCCGACGCCGCCGTCGCCGTCGCTTTTTGGCCAGGTCTCAAGTGCGATATAAAAGCCCGGCCACAAGCCGCTCAACGATCCACAGTCCAAAGTCGCTTGCAGCGAAAGACATCTATCTATCCCCAGTGCACAGAAAGTTGAATCACCCCAGAAAATATGTACAAATTCGTGTTGATCGCCAGCCTGCTGGTCGCCGTCTGCATGGCAGCTCCTCCCGTGAGTGTTAAAAAATATTACAAAATTATGGAATAAATAAGAAGAACTATGATGAAAGTTTACCAGCTAAAAAGTATCCATTTAGTGACAATGTAATCAGTTTATAACGTGATGTTGCTGCCGTGTCCCTTGATGTTGTGCTTGGCTTTTCAGGATCTCACGCACTTGGGTCGCTTGGTGCTGCGATCCATTTCGCATTTCTCAAAGCTGCCGCACTTGACATTGCCGCAATAGCTGCCAGTAGCTCCAGCTAGAAAATTTTGAACAAAAACATTCATTTTCGTATTCAAACTTGGATAATAACAGAATCGCGTTTGAAGAAAATTGAAAAAAAATAATTTCAAGGACATTACGATTCAGTAAAATTCAATAAGGTCCTACAGAGAAATAATCAATTATATTTTAAGCCAAAAAATTGTTGCGTTTCGGATTAATTTCAATTTATAAAGACTCTCCGCACAGATGATTTTAAATTCAACTCAAAAGTGTATACTAAAACGGGGTAGATATTTCTAATCGATGTTAATACAGCACGCACTTTGAACCACTAGCCCACCGAATTATACTTGCTAACGTCATCGTTTTCATAGATAGGTATAGATATAGATTGAAAACTTACAGTTCTTGCTGCCGAAAGGCGACTTATCGGCACCGGAATTTCCCAGCACATTGGGTTGAGCACAGCTGCGGCCATTGCACAAATTCGGACAGCATTTTCCGCCAATGGCACTGCACTCGCTGTCGTGCAAGCACTTTGGGGTACAGTTTTGAACCTTGGAGGATGAAGGACAATCTGCCGGAAAAACAGGGGGATTCCCGCATTAGAAAGCTCCGAGAAAGCTGAAAGCCTACACTCACCACCCGCAGCAAAGGCAGCAACCACACAGGCAGCAATTAGCAGTGAAAGAAAGCCGAGCTTAACTGAAATTATATAAACGTATGGGCGAATTCTTACTGGTTCCGCATTTCGTGCGAGTATTTATTGCCATTTGTATTTGGACCTACCCATGATGATAGTTGAACGTCCGCTACGTTACTAGAGTTAACATCGACTGGCGTTCAACGGGCTTTATATGCCCCTATCGGCGGTTTCGAGTCGAACGAGTTTTCTGCTTATTTGCCTTTGTATTTTTCATTTTTCACTTTATTTTTATATATTTTACCGCCCCAACTCGCCTTGACGAGAGGTACGAAAAACAAAGGAGAGAAAAAACACGGACAAATACAACAACAAAGCACTTATCAATTTGACTTTGAATTTGCATACGAACAGGATGGGAATAAGCGATATCTGAAGACGCTACCTCAAAAATATGTTCAGTTGAATTTAAAGTGTTTTTATAAATGTTTCAAGAACTCGAACTCTTCTTAGAACTAGATTTAAAGGGAACGAAACCCTTAGTCTCACTAAAAAAAAAAAATTTTTTTAGTTGCCAAAACGATATGGCGCATAAAACAACCGTAGGTCTTGAGTCTCTATCTCAACTACATCGACATATTTCAATTACTATTTCCGTTCATGCACTTGAACAAAAAAAAGAGGAAAATGTGTCAGAACGTCGTAACGAATTTGTCATTTCTTCTTCTTGGTTGAGTCATCCAGACACAAACTGCGTTTATACGAGACTTACAAAGTCAAGATATACAATTTTTAAAAACTTAAAAACACTGAAGGAAAATTAAATTTTTTTTGACTTGCAACATTAAGTCAGTCGTGCAACATCAGGTAGTGATGAAGTCACTAGACTTGGACAGTCGTGAAATTCAATGGGGCACTTAAAATATTGTAGCCGGGCGATCGCAGGAAATGGGGAATCCCGAGGTCTACTTAACCGAACCTCAGTATGCAGATCTTAAAATTACAAACTGGTACAATTTATTTTGAAATTATACATGAATAAATTTTATGAAAAGGGGGCGTGTTTTGTAACATCGGCCGTGAGCTTTAGGCTCCTAGTCGACACTAACAGCTATTTATTATTATTTTATATATCTATCCATAGGCTGAGTTTCTAAAAACATTTGTATTTTCCAGCGCGAGGAAACCGAAGCGGAAAGGCTAGAGAGGGAGGAGTACGAGAAGTATCAGAATGAGAACGCCCAGTACTCGTTCAATTCCAAAGTGGATGATAACATTAACGATGGACAAATCAGCCGTACCGAGGAGCGCGAAGGAGGCACTGTTCGTGGTTCCTACAGCTACTTCGATGGCTATGTGAAACGCCGTGTTGAGTACGTCGCCGATCAGAATGGCTACAGGGTGGTCAAGGACGAGATGGAGGATGTCGGCAATGGCCCAACTTTCAATCCCGACGGCATCGCCGAAGTGGAGGGATCTCTGATCGGAAAATACTCCATCAAGCTGGACAAGACCGACGCCGACAAGCACTACAAGGACATTCATGCCTAGGGGAAAATGAACTGAGGATTTCTAACATTTAGAAAAGAACTGAATACTTTGTAGACCCTTAAAGTAGAGTAAAACACCATCTGAACAAAAATTGTATTTCATCTCCCAAATAAAATATTGAAAAAATTTAAAACTGGCATGTAAAAATCAATTCCACTAAATAGCAAATATCGGAAGCCCTGTTCCACTGATACTTTCTTATTTTCAAATTTATTTGTAATAATGTTTATGTATTGGTTAATTTTGCGGTGAGTGCATTTAGGAGCAAAATGTTCTTCGTTAAAGTTTTGTTTTTGAATTTAGTTTAGATCGCCATTGCTTCTTACTGATGTTGCTGTTGATTTACTGGCTATAATTTATGTAGTTTCCTCATAATTTGTTTCTTTTTCCGTTTATGGTTGATCTCTTTTTATAATTTTCATTGTATTTTTGTATTTATCAACAGTTTTAGCTTAACATATAGGGTCTCGTTTAGAAATCAATTATGTACGTGTATTACAGTTACGTTTATAGGCTACATGCTAAAGAAATGTGGGCATGAAGAGTCTTAGATGGTTTGGGTGGATAATACTAAACTTAAAGAATTACAAATTATAGCCTAAGCGCTGGGCCAAAGCGTTTTGAAAATACATTATGAATATTTCATAAATTACACAGTAAATTAAAGTATGCTTAACTAATAATAAGTATTGATCAAGTTCGCGTAATCAAAATCGAACCAACCAAATCACGCATATACAGCGATTAAATTATAAAAATATAGTCATCAGACGTGAGTGAGTCCATATGCTAAACTAACCTCGCATGAAGTACGTGCGAGGCTTTATATAAATTACATTTAAAACATAAATATTTACATTAGAATTAGTTCTTTAGTTTTCCATTGTTTTCCTATGCCTTTTCATCGATCATACTTGCTTTGCTGTATTTTAAATGATATCCATATCAAGTTCTATTATTTTTGTAAGTGCTTGTGATATCCTTAAACAATCACAAAAAATAACGAGTATCTTAAGGGATATGCAACAAGCACAAAATAGACAACACTAGCTTGCATTTTAGGCTTATCTCCTCGATCCTATCTTTATACAAAAAGTGTTACGAATTGCCAGTGTTCTTAGTTTACATGAATTGCAAATGAATTATAATTACATTTATGTATTGTTGCCATTGCTGTGTCTGTGCGTAAGCCTCTGCACGTCCGTGGTTTTAATTTGTTTGTTGTACACTTGGTTTTTGCTATTCCCCTTTGATTGCTATAGTTCACAATTCAAACATTTGGTACCTCTCTACTGGGATCGACTAAAAATACGGGTCTCTAAGTAACTACAATACGTTATCCATCTCATCTAATCACACAGGCGACACACAGCTTCGCCGCACCGATGCAGTCGTCGTGGCAGAAGGCTCCGCACTGCTGGCAGATCACCATCGCATTGAGTGAGCAGGCGCAATTGTTCGCCGTGGCCGTAGCCTCATTTCCCGGCGGGGTGTTCTCCCCGCTTTGATGCAATTGCAGCAAGGGATGCTGATGCTGAGGCCCAGATTGCTGCGATTGTGGCTGCTGGTTGATCGGCGAAGGTGCTGCGGTTGGAGATGCATTGGTCGTCACTATGTAGTTGTTTCCAGCTTCCATAAGCGCGACGGCCGAAGAGTTTGTATTGCTGCCGTCAATGTAGGCGATATTGGGTCCTAGTTGGAATATAAATTCATGTATTAATACAATGTATGTGACATAAAACAGCTATTCATGGTTAAATACTTACAAATAAATTAACTAATCTATTAAATATAAACATATATATTAACAAGGTGTGCTTAGCAGTAGCCGTATCTACTACACAATTTGTTACCGACATTTTTGTACGTTATTACTATATCCCAACTTTACAAATATGTTTAGTTTAGCATTTTATGAAAATGAAATTTGATAAGGAAAAACAAATACAAATCATATGTGTACAGTGTAAATTCGAAAATTGTGAAAAGTGAATAAATATCGGTACTATCTGTTAAATTTAGGGGCATTGACATCCCCTAGATAATAGTACATGCAGCTAGGCAATATATTATAGAAAGTATAAATGAAATTCGATCACGTAGGATAATCTAACAAATCTAAGCAACAAACTAATGACTGCGTGCCAATTATGGTAACATGACCAATGATGAATTTGTGGGTGGTGATTTGAAAGACGTACCTCGCTAACCACTAATAATACACCAATTTACCTGCAGCGATATTGCGCCGCACAATATTCGCGGCTGCGCCTACATTGCCCAGCGGCTGCGGCTGCTGATGCTGCTGCTGCTGCATTTCGTGGTGATGATGATGCAACGCATCTGTGGCAGAAATTGTTGGTGCTATAACGTTGCCGCTGCCAGCAGTTGTGTCCACCGATGCTGGACGCCCGCGTCCACCAATAGGAATGCCGTTTATGCTGTGCAGCGGATTTTGAACAGTAACGAACTAAATGACACAAAAATGAGTATGTAACAATTAATTAAAACTAAAAATGTAGACTCACCTGGTTTTGGTGCATTGGCGGGGCACTGGAGGCTCTTGGCGCTTGATTGTCAGCTGCACCCACATTCGCCCGATGAACGAGAACATATTGTCCATTGCCATTCTGGTGTATCAACTGCTCCGGGGCTGGCTGTTGAGGATTTTGTACAGGCACTGGCGAAGTCGTCGACTGATGATGCTGCTGAAGCATCTGCAATTGTTGAGCGGTGGCTGCAGCTCCTCCAGGTCCGGGACTAAACACATGCCGGATGAGCGTGGTGGGTGACGGCTTCCGTTGGACATATTTCTTCCTTGGGAAGCCACTCATTCGGGGTCCAATAACCTAGAATGCCAGAAGATTAAGAACTAATGAATAAGCTCGATATGTTTTTATGCTACGCTACCTTGTATACTCCCGGACGTCCGACACCCATTACATTCGGCGGCAATCCAGCGGGCAGAGCTCCGGCACCTACTGCCCCACTGACCAACAGCTCCTCTTGCTTTAATACATTTTGTGGTGGTGCTGCCGCGACAGCTGCTGCCATACTCCCACTGGCCGTCGTTATGTTGGACATGGGTGTGGCAGCCACTGTAGAAACATTCAAGGTCACAGGGTTTATAGGTGCTGGCGTAGTGGTTGTCGTCGGCTGATGCTGGTTGAGAATCGCCGCAGGCGGTCGCAATTGAGCCTTGAGATTCTCACGGTTTGGGCTATTCTGGATTACAGCCTGGCAGATTTGATAGCTACGCTCCAGATTTACTGCACCGGGTGGTAACCTATTGCTGGTTGCCTTGCGTCCTTTTCCCGTTGGCATTTTTGGCTGCAATCTTTGCTGGGCTATGGTGGTTGGCACTCCCGATGGTGGCAGGGTTTTCATAGTCAGCACGTTGGGTAACTGCTGCATATTACTATTGTGATTTGCCAACTGTTGTTGTTGGGCTGTCTGCTGCTGGGGGGCAGGTACTGGCGGTGATTGCTGCTGTTGTGCGCCCGTCACAGCAACAACATTGGCGTAGGCGGACGGAATAGATGCGGTATTTGCTGTCGTTGCTGCTGTGGTAGGTGATGCATTGGCAGGGCGCGTCATTGAGATGATGTTCAGCGGCTTGGCTATAAACTTAGCCTGCGTTGTTGGTGGCGCAACATTTTGCTGCTGTTGTTGCTGCTGTTGTAGAAGATTGTTGTTGGCCGCCTGGGCCAGCAGTTGTCGCTGGTGTAGTTGCGCCTGCTGCAAGGCAAACTGTTGAATCTGCTGATGCTTTTGTTGTGCCGCAGCCTGCTGTTGATGCTGTTCCAGTTGTTGCTGCTGCTGATGTTGCTGTGCGATCAGGTTAGGAGACAGGAACTGCTGGGCTCCGTTGCGGAGAGCCACTGGTAATGTCTTGCCCAAGGAATTGCTACTTGTTGCTTGCTGTTGCTGCTGCTGTTGTTGCTGGTGCTGTTGTTGTTGCTGCTGCTGTTGGGCTGCGGCCGCTTGCAGCGTAAACTGCTGTAGTAGTTGCTGTTGCTGCTGCTGGCGTTGCTGTTGAAGCAGAAAGTTGCCAATTATTTGACCATTGGAATCAACCAATATCTGTCTTTGCTGCTGTGCATTTGACTGAGCGTTCTGTTGCGGCTGTTGCGATGTTTGGTGCGGAATTTGATTAATGGTGAGACTGTTGGTGCTGCTGCATAGGCTTAGGTTGTTGCTGCTGTCGTTGCTATTGCTACTGTTGGTTATCACAGTGCTGGACACCTCCATTTCAGCAGCAGACATTGGTACAGCATCACAGAGCATTTCCTGGCCGATCTAGAAATGGGTATTGTAATAATAATGTTTATTAAAATTTCATTGTAGTAATGTTTTCATTGACTGGACTCACATCATTTCCAAATTCGCTGTGGGCTTGCGGCATAAACGAATGCTGAGCCAATTGGACTACATCCTGGATATGCAACTGTTGATGATGCTGCTGATTTTGTTGCTGTTGATGCTGCTGCAGTTTGTCCACTATCTCGCGGACAGCTTCGCTGTCTTCATCAATTAACTGCTGTTCCTCCGTCATGCACTCTACCACTTCGTCGTCTTCATCCTCCTCCTGATCACCCTCATCTTCGTCACCGAGCACATCGTGGCACACATCATTGTGCATAATGTCGTCGATGACGTCGGCATCTTGCACTACATCCATCAGATCAATAGCTTCATGGTTTAGATTACGCTGCTGATCTCCGCTTGACTGGGAACTGCTTAGCTTGATGTCACCAAAGTTCCAATCGTGCTGCACATGCTGGTACATTTCATTGGAGTTTAACTCTACGGGTAACTCCTGTTGCTGCTGCTGTAACTTGGCCACAGTGGAAAGCATGGCTTGGACATTTGCCAACGTGGTTTCAGCTGCTGCTGCCAGCGTAAGTGGAGCCGTTGGCGCACCGGCCGACGATGATGTTGTGGGCGCGGTCGTCGTCGAGCCGGAATTGCTACTGGAGCAAGAAGATGACATCGAGGCGGAGGAGGATGAGGACGATGTGCAGCTGGTCGATGTAATCGAACTGGCCGGCGTCGACCCAGAAATTGAGCTTGCAATGGGGAGCGGTGAGTCCTCCGGCTTATCACTTAGCTCTTCCAGTTTATTA